TGCTGTTACTGCTGTTACTGTTACTGCTGCTGCTGTTACTGTTACTGCTGCTGCTGTTACTGCTGCTGCTGTTACTGCTGCTGTTACTGCTGTTACTGCTGTTACTGCTGTTGCTGTTACTGCTGTTACTGTTACTGCTGCTGCTGTTACTGTTACTGCTGCTGCTGTTACTGCTGCTGCTGTTACTGCTGCTGTTACTCTCTGGTCCTCCTAGTTTTCTGTGACTGTCAGTTTTTAGTACTCTTGTTATTTGGTGCTACTATCAGTTCCTGGTACTGTCATTGTGGAACTCTTTGATCTAATAGAACCACCTTTCTTCTGTCATTGTCCTTGTTGACAGTTGGACCAAAATGAAGCTGCTGCTGAAACAGGAACTGTTTTTGGTCCCTGTGTCCCCTGAAGATGGGACGTTGGACAGGGACAGGGACCTATGGTCGTCTCCGTGAGGCTCTGTCTGTCAGGCGTTTCTCTGCGGTTCCTCTGGAAATGCCAACCGTCCTGAGGGAAGCGGAGCTTCTGTGTTCCACAGAAAGAACAGAGGAGGTTCTCTGGAGGAGCCTGGAGCTGAGGGCACTGACTCACAGATGATTCTTCTGTTTTACACTCCAGACATATGGATGCTTCACTTCTCTGCCTCAGGCCTGATGGGAGTTTTCCGTCCCCTCAGCTACATCTTCCACTTTCTTCTGATGCTCCTCAGGGATCTCCAGACCTCTCCACCTCCTCCTCCTCACCCTCCTCCCCCGTCAGTGCTGCCATTCTTTCCTGGAAGCCTTTTACTTTCCTTTTTCCTCCACAGCTTCTGTCACCAACTGTCTCCTCCGACTCCCTCGTCTCCCCCGTCTCCTCAAACGTGGAGTAATTAAGACACGGGGAAGTTCTCCGCTCAGTTGGGACCAGGACTGAAATAAAGGCTTGTCTCCGTCAGAAGCTGCAGCAGAAGGATCATTTTTCCTGCCTGACTTATGAAAACACTTGAAGGATGAAGTAATTAGTGTGAACTTCACTTCAGGCAGCAGTCGGAGGAAAACAAACCGTGTTTTCTCTCTTCACTCCTCAGCTCAGCCTCAGGAATCAGCAGCTGTTTGGGACTAAATGTCCCGTGAATCTGGCAACTGTTCCTTTAACCCTTCCTGACAGGATCTTTGAGATCTGCCGAAGATAAATGGAACATTTACTCTGTTTTTTAGAACCTCTCTGATCTCACTGTAGATTTAACTCAAATGATTCTTAATTCAAGAACAGCCATAAAAAGACGACAACATTTAATCAAGTAAGATTCTTCCCCAAAAAATAGCTAAATGTTGCTGAATGGAAATTACAGATATATAGTCATTCTCACGCTAACGTTTAGCTGCTCTCAAGGCTAATGTTTGTAGCTAATTGGCTCTGGTCATTGTTTGTGTGTAATGGAGCAACAGCAACAGTAAAAGCCACGGCCGTAGCCACCACCAGAACCGCCGCCTGCCCCCCCCCCCCACCCCCCACCACACACTCCACGGCTGACGTCTCTGTGCTCAGGCCTCAGCGCTGCGTCTCCTAATGTGCAGCATCAATCTCTCAGCCTCCCGCCGCGCAGCACAGGAACTTTTATCGCTGCTCATTAAAGTAAGTGCAGATATTTTATGCGCGGGTTGAAACAAGGAGTTTTTCATGCTAATTTCCCGGCGTTAGGACTCGTCGTCCATCACGGTGGATCCAACGAGCACAAATAAAGTGGAGTGGAACCTGGAACCATCTGGGCGTCTCTCCCACAGCTCCAGTTTGTTCAGCGCGGCCTTATTTATATTTAATGGAAGTGTGTAAAGTATGGATGCCGCCTGCAGTTGTTTGGTGAGGTGTCTCTTTAGAGTTAAATTAAAGAAGTCAAATGTTCTCCTCCGTTTACAAGGCAGCCATAATTATCCCTTAAAGAGGAGAGGGAGGAGAGTGTGGAAATCAAAGCCTCCTGTCCTCACAACTGCCCCCCAGGGACTCCTCCCCTCCTGAAGAAGACATTTAACAACTTTTAGATCCAAACCTTTCTCCTCTCGCACGCCGAGCGAAGCTCTTCAAATACTCCGGAGAAACAACATCTCCGTCCCTGTGGACCAGTCTCCTGTTTTTCACGTCCAAATGTCGACTGTCGTTTCAGATCACACAACATATATTTGTTTGGCTCTGATTTAAAAGCCGTAAAACTGGAACTCTCTCAGTCTGGGAACCACTTTCACTCACAACATTGGGGTGACCTCTGACCTCGTACCTTTAAGGGTCTCTTCACTCTAGCCCCCATACAAAACTGTTAATCCAGTCCTGGTCCTATGCTGTCATTCCACCTGATGTGACGGTTCACATGATTAATCCAGTCCTGGTCCTATGCTGTCACTCCACCTGGTTCACATGATGACATGACATGTGGGTGGGTCTTAAACGTCTGACGGAGGGACAAGCAGAAGTCATTCTAATTAATTTACAGCCTCAGTGAGGCTGCTGTAGACTGGGCGGTGTCATCCACCGGGGGGGTGGGGGGGGGGGGGGGGGGGGGGGGGGGGGGGGGGGGGAGGAGCAGGAGGAGCGGGAGGAGCTACTGACAGAGAGATAAAGGCCAGAGAGAAGTCGACACCCGCAGCAGTTTGATTGTTTCTAAAAACTGCTTGACCTTGTGCTGCTGCTGCTGCTGCTGCTGCTGCTGCTGCTCGTCTTCCTCCCTCACACTGATGGTCTCACAGTGACACAGCAGATGTTCAAAACACTCCCTGAGTGGGTGTGGCCACTCAGGTTTGGGTTACGGTCTGCTTTGTTCTGTTCTGCTCTAGTTGGGTCAGGTCTGTTCTGGTCTTATCTGGTCTGTTCTGGTCTGGTCTGGTCTGTTCTGGTCTGTTCTGTTCTGGTCTGGTCTGGTCTGTTCTGTTCTGTTCTGTTCTGGTCTGTTCTGGTCTGGTATGATCCGGTCTAGTCCTATCTGGACCCGTGGTCCGTGCCCTGCTTTAATGTTTAATTCACAGGTGGAGGCAGAGGGGGGGGGCTGATAACTCCCACTCCTTCTCCTGCTCCACCAGCGTTATCCATTGTGAAGGAAAACAAATGGAGTGATTGCCTTTTGTTGTATGGGAAGTAAGAGGAGAAACGTGTTTTCAGTGTGGAATTGGAATGTGGACTTGACATTCCGAGCACACTGACAGCGACCGCCGCTCGCATTGTGCAAATAGTGATGAATGTGGAAGAATCAAATTAAAATTTATCAGCTGAGGGAGGATCCATCTCCACATCTATTTCTACTGCATGAAAAATTAAAAAGGCTAAGTGTGTGTGAGTGTGTGTGTGTTCTCCATTCAGTGCTGCACACACACACACACACACACAGCAGTGAGTGATTTTAAAAGGACATTTCAGTTTCTCCTCCAACAGTGAATAAAGGATTGAAGGTTCATTCAGACAAACTGCAGATAACTGCAGCCAACATTACACGTCCCGTCACCACAGTCGAGTCCAGGACAAATAAAAGGTCCAACTAAAAACCTCAGTGCGTTCATAAATGACAAAAGTGCTGGAAAAACATTTTCAATTGTATTTAAAGATGAGTGACTGTCAAACACGCAGCACCAGAAGTGACGGAATCAGAGTTTAAATAGACACAGAACTGCAAAATGTCAGCAGTGAACGTAAAACTAAAGGAGACTAAAACAAGTCAAATGAAGAAGTAAAGTTTAGACTGATGGAGGAAACCCTGTTATTGAAGTAAAGACTTTTATTCCTCGTCCAGTGTCGGGACTAAAGTAAAGACTTCACTTAAAGAAGAGAGGTTTTGTTAGAGGCGCTCTGGCGCAGAGGCGCTGACTCTGTCATCGGTGTGGAACCCCAGGGTTCACCTCCTGGGCAAGATCAAATCCCAGTTAGGGCGGTTGGTGCCTTCGAGTGGACTCACCACCAGCAGGAAGGTTCACGAGGGGCTGGTGCAGTGCTGTGTTATTTGGGTGGCGGTCATGGAGACTGCTGCCCCCTGTGACCCAGTAACAGACGAAGATGGATGGATGGGTTTGTTAGAAGGAACATTTTCTCTCTGACGTATTTCTCTAGTGGTTCTTGGGGAACAGATCTGCTGCTGTGGTCCAGACCCACTTATTTTAGGTTTGCCTCCTGACTGTCACTTCAAAACCACTGGGGTTCACTGAGTCAGCAGATCCAGTCAGACCTGGTTCTGTGTGATTGTTCCACAGAACAGCTGGGCTTTAAGAAGTGACATCATGTTGTGTAAAAATAATCTGCTCAGATCAGTTCAGCTTCTGTTATCAGTGCAGTCAGGAAGTTAGAAGTTATGATGATGATGATGATGATGATGATGATGATGATGATGATGATGATGATGATGATGATGATGATGATGATGATGATGATGATGATGATGATGATGATGATGATGATGATGATGATGATGATGATGATGATGATGATGATGATGATGATGATGATGATGATGATGATGATGATGATGATGATGATGTCAGTCCTGGCTCTCCAGTCAGGGGTGGCAGGTTGGACAGTAACACACAGCTCCCTCCACATCCTCAGACTAACTGTGCAGCAGTGACAGAGTCTCAGCCTCATCTGCTCAATTCTCTGACTGATTGTGTTTCCTGTTTACAGCGGTCCAGCTCCTCAGACACAGTAATTACTGCTCCTGCAGCCATTAATGTGCTGAAATGACACAGTAAATAAAAGTTACACTGTGATAACATTCTGACGCCTCATAAAAATTCTCTAATTGTTTGCTATGAAAAACTAATTTGACTTCCTGCGTGAGGCCGTGGTGATAAATCAGGCTGAGTGAGTAATGAAGGATGGAGAGCTGAGTGTGGAGCAGGAGGACGAGGAGGAGGTGGAGGAGGAGGAGGAGACGGAGGAGGCTTTTGTCTGGAATAATCACTGCTGCAGTTTAACATCAACGTGACTGACGTGTGGAGGAATAATTCGGATCAAGTCTTTCAGCCGCTAACTGCTGTAGCTGAGGTTACTGTTAC